CTTCTGAGCACAGGCAACATGGAAACCAAACCCCTCTTTTTGGGTTTCATATGGAAACTACCTGGGCCCGAGACTGTGTGTCCAGGGGAAGGCAATTACTTAGGGAAGATTCAAGGATGGCAAATGGCAATAATTCCTCCCTGTGCTTGCTTTTAATCCATTGGGATTTGCATTGTGTATACACATGCACGTATATAAAACTCCAAAGTAAACCTATTCCTGTATTTAGGATTAAAAAATAAAGCCTGTTATATGCCAGAAACTGGCTGGAGCCTGGTGCTTGGCATTGCAGACAGAGTTAGCAGTTTGTAGGCTTTGAAGTGAAAGTTTTTTCCTCCTGTTTTACTAGCAATGAAAAGAATTTTAAAGAAAAAGCACCAAAGTCGGTGAGAAGTGTTTTTCCATAGTGAACGATGTAATGTCTTTTGGTATAATCCTCTATTTAGAAAGCCAGATGCCTTAAAGCGGCCACAGGCACCATGGCTGCATCTTACACAACCACCATACACGAGAAGTACAGTTGTGCACAAGTAATATTTTACAGTTGTGAATATTTTAAATATACCATCTTCCCCTGTAACACCCAGCACTGGCTTACACATTGTCATAGAGTAATATTTTAGGTGTTTTAGAGCAGTAGTTCTCAACTTTTAAGGGAAGCATAGCCCGGAGATTTATTAACATTTGAAGGCTGGGGCCCCACACCTGGAGACTGACTCAGAGTGTGTGTGTGTGTGTGTGTGTGTGTGTGTGTGTGTGTGTGTGTTCCAAGTACGCATTTTGGGTTGTTGCTGTTGGAGGGAACTTGTCATTTTCACAAGCAACTCAGATGATTCAGATGCAGGTGACTGATGGACCTTAAAGAGAAACATCACATCTAGGATCTATAAAATATTGAAGTTCTATGCCAAAAGAATTGAGAGTTTAAATCACAACATTTCTATTTATAAAAGTTAAAAAAATAATTGGTCACTTCAGGGAAAATAAGTCTGCATTTCCCACAGGTTATCTTATTATATCTTCACCACACTCCTCTGAGGTAATGGGGGTGGGTGATATTATTTTGACTTTGCTGATAAGGAGCTTAATGCAGGTTAAATGATTTGCCAAAGGCTACAAAGCCAGTTGGAGCAGGTTGCTTGACCTTTAAACAGAGGTCAAATAGGATGGCATCTCCTTGGACAGTACTAAAATGAAAAGCTCTGAGAAGTAACAGGAAGAAAATATAAGCATATTTCCTGATCCAGCTTTAGGTCAAGTTCTCCTCTTCTCTGTAATTCAAAGCTCTACTTCAGCAGACGACTTTGGGCTAAAGGAAGTTTGTCATTCACCTTTAAGCTCTGGCTTTGAGGACCCACCAGAGACAAGCTCATTACCCACTATCACAGGGAAACACCACCACACCACACACGTTCCTCAGCTGAGGACTTTGTTGTTATCTGCAGGGTAGATATAGCCTGAGTTTTTAGTTCACTTTAGACTCAAGTTGGGTCTAGAAAAATGGAAAAATAGGGTATCCCTTTAAAATCCCACCAATGTTGCACATTCTCAGGAGAGGAAGTATACAGATGACTTTTTTTTGATTTCAGAAACTTCCCCTGGGACTTCCTGGCTCATTGTCCGGTTGGGTTTAGGGCAGATACCATGAAGTGCCTTAGGGAAGAAAGAGACTCTTTGACAGTGGAAAATCACTCACATTCTACAGCCTTCCTTTCCTTTGCCCTCCAGGGAAAACCTGCCTTCCCTGTCATGAGAAAAACTCCAAATATAATGAACAAGACAAAGAAATATTTAATCAAATGAGTTTAGGAAGCCCTAGCAGAAACAATGCATCTTTTCACCAGTTTAGCCTGTTATGAATAGACACTGTTCCGTGTGTGGAGTCTGTCTCCGGCTCCTGGGTGAGAAATGCTGTTTGCCATCAGACACCAGTTTCACTCTAGAGCTCAAAGGAACCATGCTCCTTGCCAAAAACTGGCTGCTTCATAAGCTACAAAAATGGTTTATAAAAATAACTACAGTCTGATGATGATGGCGATGATGATAAAGCAGTCTTTGCCCAGAGTACCCCTCCCTCCTAAGCACTCACCTATGTTAGCCTGGCTACTGTAACAAACTACCAGAGACTGGGTGACGTATTAGTACATGAATTTATTTCTCACAGTGCCAGAGGATGGAAGTCCGACATTAGGGTCTGGCGAGGGCCCTCTTTCGGGCCACAGACGTCTAGCTTCTCCTGGTTTCTTTGCACGGCAGAAAACAAGTGAGCGAGCTCCCTGACCTCTTCTTGTCCTGATTACCCCATTCATGACCTAATTACCTCCCAAAGGCCCTACCTCCAAATACCATCACCTCATGGCTGGGACCTCAACATACGAATTTCAAGGGGACACACACTTTCAGTTCGTAACATCAACCCAGAACAAAAGGGGTGGGTGCGGCTTGAGCATCTTTTCAACAGCTCCCCGAAGAAGTCAGTTCCTGTTACTGACTATATCTGGGCCCAGTTCCCATCTTCCTTTGGAGGCAGCAGGAAACTAGACTTCAGGCAAGTTTTAGTCACTCTTCACTCAGGTGATTTTTTTAAAGTGTTATAAAGTGTGTTTTTTTTAAAATACTTCTCTACCACTTCTCAAAGAGTGAATAAACCACTGGGTGGCAGGAACCAAACAAAGAATATTAAAGTTGGCTCTGAGGTTAGTTTCGGACAGGCCTTCCCCACGCAGAGCTCTTCCCAGAGAAGAGCTGCAGATGACTAATGGTTCTTTAAACACAGACAGCGGAAATTCAGGGACACAAAGAGCACACTAATCGTCTCACTCAGTGTCCAACGAAAGCCTCAGCCTCAGCCAGCCATGTTCAGTTTCAAAACATCATCTGCCTCATACAAACAGACCAACCAACCGACAGTTAAAATGACATGGTTCACGTAAAAAATACGAAGTTTTTTATACTAAAGTGACCTGCAATTTATACTACAATTTCTTTGCTTTTAGATGGCAGGAATAGCTCATTAAATGTCTTCAAGAAGTCCCCAGTTGTGGAAATTTCAGCATTAAGCTGAACCTCCAAACCACGCAGGCCAGCTTGTGACTTGGACCGTGAAAACGGTGCATGTCAGTGATGGAACGGACAATGTGGTCCCGCACTTTGAATGTCAACCTCTTGCTGAGCGTGAGAGTCAGCAACCAGCCTACGAGTGTCTCTCTGTTGAGGGCCCTGGGAGTGGCCTTCAAAGGAACTGGCTTTGTCGGCCTGCCAGTCACATGTCAGCTAAGTCCATCCTGTCAGTTGTCACTTTCCTCTAGCTCAGCAAACTATCTACAGCAATAGCTGCAGTCCCTTTTATTGTCCCGCACAATGACATTCCTGAGCAAAATGTTCATCAGACCTTACCCATCCGTAACCAGAAGGAAGGCAACCCAAGGCTGACATCTGGACATTGACACCCTACCAAGTGATCATCGTTGTAAATACTTTTCCTGACTTGCTTTTTGGAGACAAACCACATTGCTTGAAATTGTAACCAGTTCCTTTAAATGTACAAAGTCTCTTTGCTAGTGAATGCTCATTTAGCTGCAGAACAATCTCCTGGATCCATTTACTGCTCTCTAATTTCCTCTGTCACATGGACTTGGAATAGGACTGAGAAGTGTGTGTGTGTGTTGGTCCTTGTTCCTTACACAAAGATGCATTAGGGGACACAGCAGCCCGCTCCAGTGGGCCATGTCCATCTAGCTCAGCGCTCACACTCTGAGGAGGCCCCAGGCACCCTGGGACACATCAGCTGGTTGATTTACCAACTGAAAGAGGAAAGCAGTGCCACCTCTGGGTTATCTCACGTGAAACAGCTGCTGGACATGTACCTGGGCTAGAGCAGGCCCAGGAGTTTTGGCTCATTTCTGCGGAGTAAGTGAGGCAAAGATGATAGCAGCCAGGTGTGCCTTGCACAGGCCTGCCCCCAAAATATGTATTCCTGGGTTGGGGCTGCCAGTGGATACAGAGGAAGCCCTGACCCACAGTTCTTTCCTTCCCATCTTGGTCCTGTCCCATAGCACAGCATCCACATGCAAATGTTGGACTACACCAGCGCAAGCATCCAGTGGACCCAATACACAACCTTGGCAAATAGCAGCCTCTTGGGTCCAGGAGTGTTCACACTGGCACAGATCTGGGGTTAGAAGCAGGAAGGCTCGAGAAGTGGGATTTTGGCTGTTTGGGAAGGAAACTCAGGATCTAAGGGACTCAGGAAATGGACCAGAAGTGGGGGTGCTGGCTCTGCCACTGGAGTGCCTGGCCCTGTGGAGCTCCGTTTGTAAACAGGAGGTTGACAACCCAGGGCTCTCCGGCTTCTCTGCAGACCTGATACTCTGGGGCTCTAAGAGTCAGTCTGTCATTTCACCATTGACGGCTTAACCTCAAACATTAGACAATGAAAATATAAAGAAAAGGAAATGTGGAGAAAATTCAAAGTATAAAAATCTCCAATCTCAGCCTCTCTAGTTTAAGAGATGAATAATGAGATATTTCGACTAATTTATGATCTGGTTAATAGTTATGAAGTTTATCTTTCACAGGTGACTATCAATCAATCAGAGTATAAATATACACTTAACATCAAAACTACAATCAACGTATTTATTGGATTATGAGGGACTCAAAACACCTCCAGTTTTCCAAGAACCATGAAATATACACATCAGAACTGTGTGTATTTAACCCACACTTCACTACAGAAATGTGGACACATTGGGCAGATCAGAGGACTTACGTGGACAATTTTTATAATAGTTAAAATTTCAAATGCCATTTCCATGGACTGGACAACCTCTTCCAGGTGCTTGATTTGTTTTGTTTACCTCCTGATACACTGTCATGGCAGCAGGCAATACCAACCTCTCCCGAAGTTCATTGTCATCATGAGACAGAGAAAGACCAGACACAGCAAAGCATCATTGTCACGAGACACAGAAAGTCCGTTCACAGTGAGTAGCACTGACCTGCCCTTTCATATCTGGAGCAATAGGAATGGTGGGCCAGATGGTTGAGTAGACACCAAAAAACAGCAGCCAGATCAGCATGCTTCCCCAGACAGCCAGATGACTGAACTGCAGAAGAGAACACACACTCAGGCCGGGTGGATGCTGGCACGGAGGCCCCCCAGCTCCACCTGCTGCACAACCCCTGGGTCCAAGCGAGCTCTCTTGATGGAAGGATGATGATAACTCTCCAGCCATTGGAGAATTTGATCTTTCTGATTTCCTTGTCTCCAAACGTTTAACAACGAATTCAGGTGACGAGTGGCCCCAAACTACCCTGAAGACAAAGGTACTTTGGCCACCCCAGCTGACCTTCCTCTAGATCCATACTGTGGTGTTAGCAGGCCTGTCTCATTCCTCACCACGATTTTTACATGCAAAATTTAAAATAAGATAGCTGGGTATTGCTTATTGTCTTTCCAAGGCTTAAAAAGGTATTATACCAGGAAAAAAATATCTATAGTGAAGACAGAAATAATTCTGGAGAAAACTTACTTTAGTCCAGGCTGTAGTCTCCAAGCCAGCTTTCAGACAAACAGTGACGACAACATACTGTGAACAGAAAGAGGCATGGCCAACCCGTTATGCTCAGTGACTTGTTCTCACTTTGTGGGAGACATCCCAGGAGTCCCCTCCAGGGCCAGCTCCTCCCAGACGGCTGTACTTGGAGAGTGCCATCTAGGCAGCTAATTCTCTAGGGGCGAGTTTAGGGAATACAGGCAGGTTTACTTCAACAAAAGCCCTCATTTTAGTGAGTTTTCTCACAGTAGTTCCTTTTACTCTTTACTTAACCTCGAAGAATCTGGAGGAATCACCTTCTTAGTGTTCTCCCGCACCCCCACCCCTACCAGGTAAACGTATAATGGTCATTTGAAGAATGGGGCAATCTGCTAATCATTTGTCCAGAAATCCTGACTCTGCCTAATCTTCACCAAAAATGAGGTGAGTATTTCACAACCATTCTGCAGTTTGAGTCTGGAATATATAGTTTAAAGATCTGCAGTAAAGGGTTCTGAGAGGCAGACTCCACACTTGTGCTATTTAAGAATGGCTCAGCACACAGAGAAATAAACTTACTGTGTAAACAATGTTTCCAACAAATAAATAGTCTGTGGCATGACCGTTGGCCAACACGGTATCTGAAAAACAAAGAAATCACCACTAAGCCCCGGAGCACGGCAGTCTACTTCACTCAGAAGCAAAAGCAAAACTTTAGAAACGTTTACCTACGTATAAAGGAATTTCAAAAATTATGTCTGTGATTCTGAATTATTTTCATCACAAATTTCTCCAGATGAAGCAAACAAAGTCTGGTTCCAACAAACCAAACAACCACACAACCGATCTGCATTGAAATTTAGAGCTTTATAAAAGTTAAAATCTCCCTTTTTGGTTTAAAAATAGGAATAGAATAAGGAGATATTAATCTGTCTTTATTAATGGCAGTATTAGATCTTTTCCAAGCGTTCATTTTCTAGTCATCTTTAATTTCTGCTAAATTGGAATTATAAGCCAATAAGAGAAAATAACTGCATAAATACAATAATTGGAGAGCTCAAAGAGTTTTGGAGGATATTGTCTCCGTGTTCACATGTGCAGCTAGATGACCTTCCGGAGTCTATAAATGGACGGAACGTGAACAATATGATGAGAGATGTCTAGAAAATACAACCAGAATGCTGAGGCTTTAATTTTCATATCTTTTACAGTTGTTGCTTTTCAATGTATTTACATACATTACAATGTATACAATGCCCACAAAGGCAGAATTCTGATAGAATTGTCTAATTCATGTCAGCCAACCTGCTGTAAAAATACTGGTTTTTATCCTGAGGGGTCAAAGCATATTTTAAGATCAGGAATGGTTTCTTTGGATGACAGTGCCAATCTCCTGTATTCTCTTTGATGCTCAAATTCAGACCTGTGGCCTACAGGCCAAGCATAGAGGGAGTGTTGTGTTCAAAGTTCCAACACAGTAGTTGCTATACCCACACATAACTGGGCTCACAGATTTACCCACCTGTGTGTTGAAGAAAGTTATTAATGAATCAAAATCTGCTAGCTTTTTAAAACATCATAACAATCAAGTCTCACCATAGGCAGAATCTGGTAACCCTGGAACCCTGTATCCAGCTCCAGGGCATGCCCTTCCTCCTGATTCTAGATGGGTCAATTAACTGCAAAATGGGGTCCTGACTGTGGCACAGACTTTAGGTTTTAGCACTAAACCAGGGGACTGGGGGAACATAAGGGTTCTCCTAGGAGAAGACAGTGAGGGGTGGGGAGAGAGAAGGAGAGAGAGGGAGGTGTGGCCAGTGACTTAAAGAAGAATGATCTCAACGCTCAGGGAGAGGAGGTGGGGAAGACAGCAAGGAAGGGAAAAGTTCAAACAGTGAGGGAGAAGCTAAATTAACCTCAAGAAGGTAACAAGTCACTGTGTTAGCTCATAGCTATTCAAAACTGTGGGAGTTCACTTTGCAGTAACTGGCTCTAAGATTGTTTTAATAATAAATATGACATCTTTAAAGGCATTCCTTAATAAAGAAAGACTTGAGATTAGACCGGAGATGATTTATTTGATTCTAACATAGATTACAGCCTTGAAAGGGGTAACATCATTCTTTCTTTATGTAACGAATATGTATTTGAAGTCTACTTTCTGCCATGTACTGTTATGGGAACAGAGGAGACAAGGTCCATCGCTTCATGTAGCTCACATTATAGTGAGGGAGTCAGAGCAGAAACACACATAGATGTACAATAAGCTGGCAGGTAAAGTAAGTACTATAAAGAAATACACCCTGACTGGTGTAGCTCAGTGGCTTGAGTGTGGGCTGTGAACCAAAGGGTCTCCAGTTTGATTCCCAGTCAGGGCACATGCCTGGGTTGCGGGCCAGGCCCCCAGCAGGGAGCATGTGAGAAGCAACCACACACTGATGTTTCTCTCCCTCTCTTTCTCCCTCCCTTCCCTTCTGTATAAAAATAAATAAACAGATAAAATCTTAAAAAGAAATACAAGGTCAGGTGATGGAACAGAGAGTGACAGAGGCGGCTCTTTTAGATGGGGAATTCAGGACAAATCTTTTTGAAAAGGTAACATTGGAGTAGATCTGAAGAGTATGAAGGAGTAAATTAAAAGAATATCTAAGGGGAGAGAGAGCGTGCCAGGCAGTGAGAAATCACCAACATTCTGAATACAGAACATGGATGACCTCAAAGACCATCACGAAGAGCAGTTTGGCTGGTGACACTAGGAGATGCTCAGGCAGCAGGGGCAAATCAACACAGGCCACAGCAAGGAGTTGGGTTTTCACTGTTAACTGCGATAGGAAACCGCCGGAGGATTCTGAGCAGAGGGTGACATGGCGTGAGTGATGCTCTGAAAGGAACAGGCCACCGTTCATGGGGGAACACACCGTGCCCTCTCAAAACTAGGGAAACAATAAATGCAATGCCAGTGTGGAAATGACCGTAGCAATCTGTCCAGGAGGTAGTGTGTAGAGCTGCGTCCAATATAGTAGCCACTGGCTGCTGTAGTTGTTCACATTTAAATTAATTAAAATGAAATAAAATAAAGAACTTAGTTCTGCCAAGGGTCGGGGAGGAGGGGAAGGGGAAATGAGTTATTGCTTAATGTTTACAAAGTTTCAGTTCAGAGTGATGGAAAAAGTCTGGAATAGATAACGGTGACAGAAGCACAATATTTTGAATGTAATTAATGCCTCTGGACTGTCCACCTTGAATGGGTCATAGAACTAAAAGTACAAAACTCAGTCTTGGAATAAAACATAGGAGTCAATATGGCCTTAGATTTGGCAATGGTTTCTTAGCTATGACACCAAAATTGCAGTGACTAAAGAAGAAAATAAATAGGACTGCATCAAAATCAGAAACATTTATACTTTAAAGGATACCACCAAGAAGTGAGAAGACAACCAGCAGAGTGGAGAAAACATGTTCAAATATTTATCTGAGAAGGAACTTGCACCCAGAATGTGTATATAATGAACTCTTAAAACTCAACAATAAAAAAGACAAGTAACTCAATTTTAAAACGGGCTAAGGATCCGAATAGACATTTTCCCAAAGATATACAAAATGGCTAGTCAGTACACAAAGAGATGTTCAACATCATTAGCCATCAAGGAATTACACAATTAAATCCACAGTGAGACAGCATTTAACACCTACTGGGGTAGCCATAATAAAAAAGACAGTAACAAGAGGTGGCAAGGATATGGTGAAATTATAACCCTCATACACTGCTGGTGGGGAAATAAAGTGATGCAGCCACTTCGGAAAACTGTCAGCAGCTTTTCCAAATTTGTGCATCGTTACCATGAAACCCAGCAATTCCACTCACAGAGAAGTAAAAGTACAGGCATGAAACATACAAAAACTTGCATACGAGTGTTCACAGCAGCATTACTCACAATGGCCAAATGCCATCAACTAGTGAATCGATAAGATGTGGTACATCCATACAATAGAATATTATTGAGCAGTAAGGAGAAATAAAGTGCTAATCCATGCTACGATATGAATGAACTTTGAAAAATCTTATGCTAGGTGAAAGAAGTCAGTCATAAAAGGCCATACATTTTACTTTTATGAACTGTTTAGAATAGGCAAATTGATAGAAGAAAGTAGATGAGTGGTTGTCAGAAGCTTGAGGGTGTTAGGGGGAAATGAGGAGTAACTGCTAACAGTTACTGGTTTCTTTTGGGGGCGATGAAGGTGCTCTAACATTGATTAAGGTCATAGTTGCACAACTCTGAATATATTAAAAACCATAGAGTGTACCCTTCAAAGTGGGAATTGTATGGTAGGTAAATTATGTATCAGTAAAGCTGTTATTAAAAACATCAGTTCCTCAGTCATACTTAGTCACATTTCAAATGCTCAGTGGCCACATGGCTAATAACTACCATGTAATAACTACTATATTAGACAGCATAGATAGGTATAGACATCTCCATCATCACAGAAAACCCTATTGGACGTTGCAGGTCAAAGTGGTTATTTTGGAGGTAGAAAGAAGTGATAAAAATTTGCGTGTATTTTGAAGGTAAATGATAAGCTTTTTTAGGATTTAGAGGTGGGGTAGAAAAGAATACAAGGAATCCAGGATGACTTCAAGGTTTTTGGCCTGAGTAACTACGTGAATAGTTTATTATTTGAGCTGGGGAACCCTGGTTCTGGTCTTCTTAATACAGGTATACTAATTAAAATAGTAGCACATGAAAAGTTGGTCCCAAGAGACCAACATTGTAAATTCACAATACAAGAAAAGATAACAACAAAGCATGATACTATTAACACAAGGATATTTACAAAAATGAGGTGGGGAGAAGGAGTTGGGTTAGTAGCAAAAATACCAGTAGTCAGAGTGGAAGACCTTGTTCTATTTCTGCTCTCTCTTTTTTTTTATTCATTTACTTATTTTTCTTTTTATCTTCCTCTGCAGACATTTTTTTTTCCCATTGCTTTTAGAGAGAGGAACTGAGAGGAAAGGGAGAGAGAAACATTGATGTGAGAGAAAGCCCTGATTGGTTGTCTGTCATGTGTGCCCTGACCAGGGACTGAGAGATGACCTAGACACGAGTTTAGGACCTTCCTCCTGTTCAATTTGGCTTAGGCTGTATCTCCTAGTCTGAGTCTCATCTTAGTGCTCATGAATGGAGGACGACAGGCATTTTAGTTGAGAAGAGCGATAACCCGAGTGCCCCCAGTTCTGCCCACATTAAGCTTCACTGGGGCCCAGAGAAAACTAAGATCAGATGGAAGGGTTAGAAGGGTGGGAGACACAGTTAAAATAAAAGTTCACAGTTGTGATGTGACAGCTTTTTAAATTTCATCTTAATACTAATATTTCAAATGTTAGTTTATTTGTGTACTGCAAGGGAATAAATATACAAAGCATTTGCCTAATAGGAAGGGCTTCTAATGTGTTTCATATTTTATGAATATACACACAATAAGCAGAAAATTGCTAGACATAAGAAATTCCACATTCAAAAGAGATAACATAGTTACTCATTATATGACAGGTACTGTTCTAAGCACTTGACATGTAGTAGCACATCTAATGTGTGTAAAACTCTAATATATCACACTTACCAATATGTAACCTAATATA